AAGGAGACCACTAAATGGTCCGTCAACTTACTAACTCTGTATTCAATATACACTCAAAATCAACTAACTTTTAAATGTATGCTTTCTTATATATATATCCAAAAGAACAAAGGTATGTGATATAAAAGAAAACGAAAAAATAGATATAGCTAAAGATGATGTGTACCTGACTTAACAGATGCCTCGTCTCAACAACGAAAGATTAAGAGTTCGCTTGGTTCTCACTTAGAGCGCATACCTAATAGATTTACACATTCTTCTTCCTTCTGTCTCTCTAGGCATATTTCTAACTTCAAGTGTATTTCAGTTTGTGAATACTTTTTCTCGTTTTTCGCTTTTGTTATTTTGACCGTTGTGTCTTTTTTGTAATAGTATTGAATCAGCAGAAAAGCCGATCCTTGCAACGCGTATCACAAAATCACCTTCAATGAGAGATACGATTCTTCAATAAAAAAGTATCCAGATCGTTTGTTTATTGAAGCATGAAAATGTGCTTGTACTCCTAAAGCAAACGTGTCATGAACCGTATCTTCGATTTCCTAAGTATAAAGTTTAAATGTTCTTTTTTTGGTTTTGAGATAAGGGCGGAAGGCATAACACGCAGCAAAACAGGCCTTCTGGACTATAGTCGCAGATGATATTATGTCTTTCTTGTAACTTAGGCTTCTCAATTCTCTGCTCGAATTTCGAGCTACTCGAAATTCGAGCTACCCGAAATTCGAGCTACACGAAATTCGAGCTACTCGAAATTCGAGCTACCCGAAATTCGAGCTACACGAAATTCGAGCTACTCGAAATTCGAGCTACTCGAAATTCGAGCTACTCGAAACTCAGTTTTTGAAATACAGTTTTTATTAAATGCTAAGTTAATTCCTACTTTAGTCAGCTATATTTTTGTGTGACTGAGGTCGGTGAGGGGGGAAGGAGGTGCGTGGCGAGCATGCGAGTGAGCCACTAACCCACATTTCTGCTTGTTTCTCAAAAGATATAATTATGGCAGGCTCGTACCTTTTAACCAAAAAGGCATTAGCGCAAAATCGACTTTTTATACCGCTTCTCTAGAAAAAAGTCATCAAATTTTGATATGTTACCATTCACACCAAATTATGTATGCACCGAGCTTCGAGTTACCCGAAAACTCGAATCGAGCTACCCGAAATTCGAGATACTCGAAATTCCAGCTACCCGAAATTCGAGCTACCCGAAATTCGAGCTACTCGAAATTCGAGCTACTCGAAATTCGAGCTATTCGAAATTCGAGCTATTCGAAATTCGAGCTATTCGAAATTCGAGCTACTCGAAATTGGAGCTACTCGAAATTCGAGCTATTCGAAATTCGAGCTATTCGAAATTCGAGCTATTCGAAATTCGAGCTACTCGAAATTCGAGCTACTCGAAATTCGAGCTACTCGAAATTCGAGCTACTCGAAATTCGAGCTTCTCGAAATTCGAGCTACTCGAAATTCGTGCTTCCCGAAATTCGAGCTATTCGAAATTCGAGCTATTCGAAATTCGAGCTACTCGAAATTCGAGCTGCTCGAAATTCAGCCATTGAAAAGACGGAAGTCTCTTCTATATAACAGACAAATTTTAAGCCTGGCTTACTATGCAAAGTCTACGGACGGCGAGCTCAGACTTTTTCCTTCTAAAGGTACAGCACGATAAACCTGTTCTGGAAGCTTCGTCGCTTCATAGATCTATGTGCCTTGGTGCCTACTTTAGGAAACTAAAACCGGAGGACTCTAGCTCTTGTCATTCAAAAGTTACTACTCCATTACCCGTTGCCAATGCAGCGACGACTGATTTCATCGACAGAATAAAAGGAAAGTTTGACGGACTAATAACACCAACGACACCCACCGGTACTCGATAAACACGATTTTCCTTGTGATGAATGGATGACGGTAAAATTTTTCCTTCCATTTTGAGCGGATATGTGACAGCATCTCGTAAACATTTTATAACAATATCGACTTCAAGTGCACCTTTCAATCGGGTACTTCCTATTTCTTGGATTAGCAGTGAAATAATTTCGTTCTTATATGATTGAATATATTCCAAAGCCGATGTAAAAATATCACATTTCTGGTATGCATTCACGTTGTCCCATTCATCCGATTTTGCTTTTTGGGCAGATACATATGCTAAATGAATATCGTCCTTGGTAGCCATTTTAAACTTTGTTATTACTTCATTGGTATACGGATTCAAATCAATAAGCTCTCGTTCACTTTTCCCATCTTGCCATACTCCGCCAATGTATTGCTGGTTAACTGTTTCAAAATTCAACATTTTTCTTTCTAAGAATATAAAACAAAGAAAATTATAGTTAACAGCAGTCATTCGGCAAGTGAACGTATATTACTTTCCTGAGTTTTAAAATCAAACCTTATTTTAGATACGCTTTTAAAAAATCTCTAACGTGTTCTTGCGCGCTTTGATGTGAAATCTAAAGAAGAGACTGAATGTATACACCCACGTGTAGACACATGACTAACGTATACCCCTTCTAAAAGATGATCGACATAAAAAGCGGGATGCGCAATGTGAGTCGTGGCCTGACTCTAACTCTTGAGGTACAAAAGGGTCGTAGCACCTTTCTGTGCGCACTTTTACAAACAGACACGTATTTCGATTTCTCATTCAGACATTAGCACTTTAAGCATTTATCAGTATTGATAAATGCTTTTCCTTAGAATTGAGAAGCCTAAGTTACAAGAAAGACATAATATCATCTGCGACTATAGTCCAGAAGGCCTGTTTTGCTGCGTGTATGCCCTCCGCCCTTATCTCAAAACCAAAAAAAGAACATTTAAACTTTATCCTTAGGAAATCGAAGATACGGTTCATGACACGTTTGCTTTAGGAGAACAAGCACATTTTCATGCTTCAATAAACAAACGATCTGGATACTTTTTTATTGAAGAATCGTATCTCTCATTGAAGGTGATTTTGTGATACGCGTTTCAAGGATAGGCTTTTCTGCTGATTCAATACTATTACAAAAAAGACACAAGGGTCAAAATAACAAAAGCGAAAAACGAGAAAAAGTATTCACAAACTGAAATACACTTGAAGTTAGAAATATGCCTAGAGAGACAGAAGGAAGAAGAATGTGTAAATCTATT